TAAAGTGGGCAACCAAGACCAATAGGGACGGCTCCTAAGTGGTCGAGGGTGCAACGGTAGGTCATCAAAAAGACCCTGTCAACAATGTAGGGTCCTTCGAACAAACGAGAACACCTCAAGACTAATGTGATGGGCCCCTGAAGAACCGGAATTGCCCGGCAGGGCAATTTCGATATTAGGGCAAGTATTGGGGGCAATTCCGATAACATATATGGCCCGTCAAGAGTGCAGGGCCTCCAGACAAACGGGAGGAGTCCAAGACTAATATGAAAGGTCCCTGATTGACAGTGCATTGAAGGCAAACGTGTAGCGCCTGACAACAGCGTGAGCCCGCCGAGAAAATATAAAATGTCCAACGCCAATGTTGTGCCCCTCCAACCCCCACCCCCATGCGATTGAGTGTGCCTTTCCGCTTTCGCTCCTGCAGGGAAGCGGAAAGGGGCCCGACAGATTGTAGGGTTCTCCTCAAGTTCCAGCTGTTGGAAAGACCACTAGATCAACGAAGAGCGTCTCTAAGCATCAAGTACCCCACTAGGTTAAGTTATGTGGCCCCCAGCAACAGCACAGGCTCTCCGAAAAGATGGACAGGACGAGACCAATGTGCAGGACTCGTGAGAAGCTGAGTGCCCAGCAGGTCATCATATGGGCCCCCGACAATAACATATAGCTTGTCGGGCGGACGGGAATAATCCGTGAAGGGCCACTGATCAATCAATCCGTGAGTGTCCAATCGTGGCCAATCCGTGAGTGTCCTGGCAGTTTCGCATTCAGGGCACCAACAACAGCGTAGGACCCTCCGAGCAAGTGCTGAGAAATCAAGGGGATCGTAGACTGCTACTTGGCAATCGGAGTCTCCAGCAAGTGAACATAAGCGAAAAATCATTCAGGTTTGTCAAAGGGTTTTTTTCTGGCTTCTCGGCACTTTCCGATCGCCTGCAGGCCCAAAGACGGCCCTATTTGTGGCGCTGGGTGTTAAAAACTGTTTCCGTTCGGTCAGTCATGGGCTCCTTCGGGACCCAAGGGGGAGGGCATGACCACTGCCCCCCACCCACTCTGAATCTGCCGCTAGTCAGCTGGCCGTCATGAGCTGCAGCACAGCTTAAACAAACATCCAATTTCTATCAACAAACACTCAGATTCAGGCAGCAAGCAATGAGAACCTCTAAGCGGTGGAGCTGTTTAGAATCTGGTTTGATCTCCTACCAGCCCCCCCCCTCGTTGTAAAAAGACTAGTTTTTTGCCGAGCTATCTACTAGCTTAATCTAAAATTAAATTTTTGTTGGGAAAGATATCAGGTTACCTTGATTGCTATGCTGGTTGCGCCGTTCTACCTGTCAAGGGGCGCGCCTCTATGTTGCGAACCAACCTGAGCACGAGCCGTTGTAGGGCCCAGGCGGGTCCGGTCCCCGCAGTCAGATCACGTGTTGGGCGGGGCGGGTCCGGTCCCCACAGTCAGATCACGTGTCGGCCGGGGCGGGTCCAGTCCCCGCAGTCAGGTCACGTGTTGGGCGGGGCGGGTCCAGTCCCCGCAGTCAGATCACGTGTCGGGCTGGGCGGGTTCAGTCCCCGCAGTCAGATCACGTGTCGGGCTGGGCGGGTCCAGTCTGCACAGTCAGGTCACGTGTCGGGCCGGGCGGGTCCAGTCCCCGCAGTCAGACTACGTGTCGGGCTGAGCGGGTCCAGTCCCCGCAGTCAGATCACGCAAACCAGAGGCGGCCAGAGCTTGCGGGAAACCAATAAAGCTAGCGATGCAAACTAGCTGTTTCCCTTTGATCAAGACTTGAGGCATCTAATCTGTGTTTTCGACAGTTGGCAAGGGACTGAAAAGCTCCTGCAACATATTTCAATTCCACCAACAGCTTATGCTGCAGAATCGGTTCCCATCAAACACTTGGAAAGTTCGCCTCGAAACCAAGGATGCATCGCCAAGCACCACCTGTGTGCGATGTAAAATCAGGTTGCATTGGTTGTGTAGAAATTTGGACAGGGACGGCCGCCTCTGTTTCAAGATAATTGTTATTCCAGGTGCGTGTTACGTTTCTTTTTGCATGGATGTTGCGATAGTGTCATCTTGCTGCGCCATTATTTTGTTACGAATTTTGATAGTTGCTGTGCGTGCAAATCGTAATATCAGAAAATACTTTCTGCCAACCAAATTGCACGAGTGAAAAAATATTGATGCAGGTTAAAACAAGCACTGATGTAAATACATGAATAAACGTTAAAAACGTACATCGATGTAAGAACATTACCGCATGTCAAATGCTTGAGACTTCAGCAAGTGTATCACAAACATAAAAATGAATTAAATTCTCGAGAAGGCGGCCTGCCGCGAGTGCTCCAGTTTTAGATGATGCAGAGTGGTATCATGCCACATCTCAAAACTTCCAAAAACGTTCGATGCTCCGTACCGTGCGGCCCAGTTAGCAGGGACTGATTGATCTTTTACATTCATTGAAATAACAGACTGCACGGAAGGGAATTTCAAGGAGTCATAAGCATTACCGTCTGTCTTAGAATGACAAGAAATGCATGGATATGAGGCTATTACTGTCCCTGAGCTTGTCCCCAAGCTTATCAGGTGCTGTTTTGTTGCTGGCGACAGCAAGCAGCTTGATCTTGTCCTTCCGCACATATTTGGAAAAGTGGATTGATGATGTTGATCCGATGAGGGAGTAGATGATCTTACCCGACAAGGACGTATCGAGTGTCTCGATGATAATGAGAAGCTGCAGCGGTCGACACAACTAAAAGGAAGGGATCACTGCCGTCGAGACCTCTTTGCAGTTGCAAGTATGTTTTTGTCAGCCAAGAGTTTTAACCAACGAGGCTGACTTTGCAAGATCGATCACTAACGATGCTCGCATTGGCTGTTGTATCTCTTCAGTTCCTTAGTGCGCAAACACGGTCTAAACAGGCTTTGGGGCGCGAAAATAAGTGTAGTTCGTGCTCTACAGCTGTCCGCTGGGAATTACTCGGTCCGCCTCAGCTAACCTTATCCCGTGAGACTTGGTCCGCCTCAGCTGACCTTATCCCGGGAGACTTGGTCCGCCTCAGCTGACCTTATCCCAGGGAGACCTTGAGACCGCCCTCAGCGGACCTTCTCCCGGGAGACTGGACCGCCTCAGCTGACCTTATCCCGGGAGACTTGGGACCGCCTCAGCTAGCCTATCCCGGGGAGACTTGGTCCCGCCTCAGCTGACCTTATCCGGAGACTTGGTCCGCCTCAGCTGACCTTATCCCGGGAGACTTGGTCCGCCTCAGCTGACCTTATCCCGGGAGACTTGGTCCGCCTCAGCTGACCTTATCCCGGGAGACTTGGACCGCCTCAGCTGACCTTATCCCGGGAGACTTGGTCCGCCTCAGCTGACCTTATCCCGGACTTGGACGCTCAGCCGACTTATCACGGAGACTTGACCGCCTCAGCTGACCTCATCCCGGGAGACTTGGACCGCCTCAGCCGACCTTATCCCGGGAGACTTGGACCGCCTCAGCTGACCTTCTCCCGGGAGACTTGGACCGCCTCAGCTGACCTTCTCCCGGGAGACTTGGACCGCCTCAGCTGACCTTATCCCGGGAGACTTGGACCGCCTCAGCTAGCCTTATCCCGTGAGACTTGGACCGCCTCAGCTGACCTTCTCCCGGGAGACTTGGACCGCCTCAGCCGACCTTATCCCGGGAGACTTGGACCGACAGCGACATAGCCTCCCGCTGACTTCCCGTGCTCGTGTCGCTGGGAGGCCAGCCTCGCGCGGAGGTCGGCCCAGGTGGGGTGGCCACGTGGTGCAGCCAGCATGCGGGCGGCAGAACGAACAAGACGCTCGCAGAATCCTTTTGAAAACGCTGCATTGGTGAGTATTGCTTAGATATCACACCGTTATGCAGGTTCTGAAGCATTTGTTTTAAGGGATTTGACCAACGTGTTGCGAGATGCCTTTGGGATCGGAGTGTTTGCTAATCATAGTTTGTTGCCAGCGCGCTGAAAGTCGCCACCGCAGCAAACTTCCGGCTTAGGAGACATTGCTTAACAAACAACCTTAACATAAATCACAGTTCCGTGCCAAGGCTGTCCCTGTTCTACCTTGTGTATTTTCATCAGCGGTCCTTTGACCGACAAAGGCAAACCACTGGCACTGTTGACGGGACATTGACCAGAATGTCCGACACTTTACAGGCTGAGCTACAGGGAAGGCCGCTCATATGGTTAGCTCAGAGGGCGGCTATTTCAAATCAGAGCATGGTGATTGGTCATGCAGCTATTTCCACATCCGGCCTATCACAAAAGTGTTATCATGTAGTGACACCCTATGACCACACCTAGCAATGAGATGCATTTGTGAAGTGTGAACGTTTAGCGTCTCTTCGCGATGCAAACGCATGTAGCTGACGAAGATCGCCACCGGTCTCCGCCTTCTCCATCGCCTGGCGTAAAGATGTCTGACGCATGACCAAACGGCACTGGGTACGAGTCCTAAAGCGGATGCATTGTTTGACTTGACTGAAATGGAAAGCTCAGCTGACAACTGGCCCACCAGGTCCGGCGCGGCAGCGTCGCGGTCTTGTGTGGCACGTAAAACCCTCCGCGTTCCTGTGTGTTGAAGCGGCGGGGAAACTGAACTGGACGGCACGACTTGGGTGGTGGGCTTGCGGTACCAGCAACTAGCTTCGCTTAGCAGGTGCTCTGAACCCAAAGCCATCCATGCAAACCATTAACAATGAACTGGTAAGAGATGCGCCCACTGTCTCCGTTAATCTGATTGGTAGGAGATGTGCCGGCCGTCTCCGTTAATCTGATTGGCACGAGATGTGCCCGCTGTGTCTGTTAATCTGGTTGGTTTGCAAACGCTCAAGAGCAAAGTCCACCGGCTGCCGGGAAAACGAGCGTTTACGACAATCGCGAGGCTCCTGCCCGTTCTTATCGAGCGGAGGGACATCGCTCCCGCTGCGATAGTGACCGCACGCCGAGGCGACCCTGCCCTGTGACCCGATGACGTTACGGTTCTCCGCCGTTCCCGAGATTGCGCCGCCTGCTCGCGGCGAGGGCATACGGAGCGGACGCGGACCTCGCGACGGTGTTCACCCTCCCAGCACCACCAGGAGAGCAGCATGACAGCAGGGCGACCATCCCCGTTGCTTTTCCTGTGCTGCCTGGCCGGGTGTGGCGCTACACCTGCCTCTCCAGGTAATGTGCTCGGTCGCACGTATGTATGCGCGAATGAGATACGGTTCCGTGCACGTATAGACGGTTGCAGGTATAGGTGTGCATGTTCTTAAAAAATATGAATTTCTATCTACGCCTTACTGTTTTTGCACGCATGTATTGGATCTTTCAGAAGTGCTGGTACAAAACATTCTACGTTTTTTCAATCAAGTGAGCTTGACAAAAATAACTCATTTTTCCTAACGAGGACACCTAAGTAAGCATGACGTTCGATGTTTAACAACATAGCCCATTACGACACTCCTGTGGGCACGTGGGAACACGAACACTGCACAGTACCTTTGCATATAAAGCTTTAACACGACGCTAGTGACGTCATCCACGTGATCTGCATGATGCGCCAGGTTAACATTGATCCTTGAGGCAAGATTGCAACCACTTCGTTGCATGTGACGGACGAAACCGTTCTGTAGAGGTCATCGACTGCTTCCTTGTGTTGTGTGACGCAGCATGGTTTGTCATTGCACGTGCTGTCTTTCGGAAAGCCCCCCAAAAAGGTCCAGTGAGCTGCGAGAATTGTAGGCTCAGATGTGCTGTACCCAGACGTACTCCACCAGCTTCTCGGAAAACGTCTTAAACACCAATTTTGGGGTTCTTTTGTGCTGTACGACGATTGGATTTCTCTTGGTCAAATCATTGACGAGTTAAAAAATTGACGACTTCTTAAAGCGCTCATCAACTTTGAAAGCACCCCATGACAGTTTTGTTTGCCGATGAGCGGCTACTGCCTCTCTGTCTTTATCTTGGAAACAAAAGGGTCTAACTTTGCCTATAACTCATAATATCCCAAGCAATGGATCCTGCGCTACGCGGGTGTTTTGTGACAACATGGCGTTCAGCGCATCCGCACTGATGCCAGCGCGGGATGGTGACCCCACTGGTGGGGTGCAAGGGGCCTCGTCTGGCAGCAAAACCTGATGGATCTCGTTTTCAACCGAGACTCCGAGTTCCTATGAGCACCGCCACAGGATTTCTCGGGGTTTCGGACAACCAACTGCCTCAGCGCATTAATGGTCTCTTTTGGACGACTGGCTCTGCTTTGTCCTGATCTTGCACCTTGTTGGCAGTCTCTTCCTCTCAAAGCTTCTTAATGTTTTTTTCAGTCCACTAAAACATTATTTGAATTGACTGGAGAGGTCACGACTAAGCTCTTTCTGCTGAGAGCAAAGTGCTTCTTAAAAGAAGGGAGGAAAATAAAGCCCTCTTTTTGAGTGAGCGTCATCAGGCAGGAACCCAACCTGAAAGCAAGTCTTAAATGCACGGGAAAGTTTGCCATCAGGTCTATCACACCAAAGGTCATCAGTCGTCATAAGCCTTTCCTCGTAAGTGTTTTTGTTCCATCACCACGTACCAATTTGTTATGCTATGCTTGTTTATTTGGTACCATTGAATCAAGTCATCCGCAAGTCTCACTTCAAACGTGAAATGACGACTTGATACTAAATTATCAAACAAAACTCTTCCAGAGAAAACGTATACGGTTATGGGTCAGCAATGGTGACAGGAGACAGTTTTGGGTCCTGCTGTCCTCTGTTTCGTACATGCGCCAACTTAACTGTGTCGCACCAAATTAGCTATAATAAATTAGCACCAAATTATCTTTAGCAGCTTAACGCCAAATTACTTATATCAGATATGCTATGGCAAATTAGCTATGGAAAATTAGCGCCAAACTAGCTGGGTCTTATAACGCTAGCGCGAACAGGCTTAAGCATACCTGCACTTTTTAAAGCCTTTAAAGTCAGATATTCCTTGTCAACTGAATGGTCGGCTTAAGAAGCAAATCTTCTTGAAGAGATAAGATCGCGTCGCCCAACTGAAAATTCTAGGTGTGCTCACGCGGAGAACCTGTAGATTATCGGGGCTTCAATCGCCTGCACTAGTATGCGAGAGCTTTCCTTAATCATGCTATGTCATTTGACCGTAATAGCGACACAACAACCCGGCCACTTATTCTGAGGAGCGCGCAGTGGTTAATAAATTACGACTCGAGTGTAAGGGAACCAGGATATCACTGCAGTACTTTCATCGATCTCGTTCGCACTTACGCAGTTCCGGACCCGGGCTCCCGGGCTAAACCCGACCCGGACCCGACCCGGACCTGGGTTCCCCGAACCCGACCCGGACCCAGGTTCCCCGAACCCGACCCGGACCCAGGTTCGAACCAATCAATCGCCATTGACTGGCCAGCAGGCGAGAGATTAGAACCGGGAAATCGCGGAATGGTACTATATCGTGTGTCCCTTGCAGTTCGTCACAAGTGTGCTTACGTTAACTAAAGGCATGGATTATAGGGAGCTCTCTGGCGCTCTCTTAGCCTGAGAAGTGTTGCATGTTAAGTTCCATACTCTTGTTTTTCGTCGTGAGCATATTGAAATGTCAACTTAATCGTAATCCGGCCAAGGCTGAAGAACAAAATGTAATATTTATGAACGAAATGTCGCAACAACAAAGCGGAGTTGTAGGAAAGGTGTGTTTTTCATGTCATCCTCGGGAATACAACAACGCATTCCATTTTTAGGGTTCTTATACGTTCAGTAGAGGCGACAAAATGGAAATTTATGGGGGCATGTCCAGGGTATGCTATGCATTTTCTTAAGCTGTGTCATCATGAGCAAATACAAACACACACACACACACACACACACACACACACACACACACACACACACACACACACACACACACACACACACACACACACACACACACACACACACACACACACACACACACACACACACACACACACACACACACACACACACACACACACACACACACACACACACACACACACACACACACACACACACACACACACACACACACACACACACACACACACACACACACACACACACACACACACACACACACACACACACACACACACACACACACACACACACACATGTATATATATATATATATATATATATATATATATATATATATATATGCTAGGCAAATGTATGTTTAATCCGTTTCTTGCATGTTTGCTCGATGGTTTGATCTGAATCCTCCGTTGTTTTTAGTAAGTCATAACTCAGATCGCCTGGTCATTTATATTAGTGTAAGCTTGAAGACTCTCAAGGACATTAATTTCCTATTCCAAAAGCAAAGTATGAGAGACAGATGGAAATATAAGAACATGGCGAGACGCGAGGCATGCTCTAAGAGACAAAACAATTGTTGACCCATCAATTGACAGAATATACATCCAAAAATCAAATCAAAATACATAGCACACAAACACACGTGCATCACTTTTTCAGCCAGTTTGACACCGTGGTAAGTAAAATCCATGGAATCACCCTACTTGAGTCGGCTGGCTGAGCCAGTCTTAAGTGACGCACGACTTGACCTGTTTGTTTGAGTCAGTCATTCTTCCTCCAACAAGTATTTCTAGGAGAACTTGTAAACAGCGTTTGTTTGGGCACGATTTAGCATGCAGTGTTTTTTTCGTCAGTCGGTGGGATTTTTGTCTCGATAATGTCCTGCAAAATGTTTTTGTCTGCCTTACAGGACGGGGAAAGTGATTTCGATAAAAGAGTTGATCGGCAGTTTCTTGTCGAGTAATTCTAGGCTTCCTGGATTTAAGGTGGACCTAATCTATTGGCCAATTGCGTTGTTCGAAAATCGGTTATAAATGAACCTATTATTTATATTTATACATTATATTAGCTAATTCATTCTCATCAATCTTAACCATCTTATATTATCACTGCCTGCACCGTTCAAGTTCGTCTCGCGTGCTGGACCAGGTGACGTAATATCTTAGAGTGTACAGTGCAAACGAATGAATTACGGCCGTGCAGCAACGCCCTGGGCATTCGCTATCCGCGTTCGTATATTTGCCAGCATCAGTAGGCTTACGGTGCACATTCGCCACAAAATATCCATTACTCACATCCACATCGCTGTCAATAAATGTCAAACGAACATCGACAATCAGGTCAGTTGTAAATCGTATAAATGCTGCTGCACAGCGGCCTGCAGTTCGTGAAGGTGGGCCTGGTCTCGGACATTGACAAATATGTCACCGACATAGCTGCAGTATTGATGTGGTTTAAGTCTCAGGATTTTCAGGATATCGTTCTTGAGCCAACACGTGTACATATTTGCAAACAAGCGTTCGAGTGATGCATGGCTGATGCTCTCCGGATGCTTTTTACTTAAACAGCGGGGGATTTTCCGAAAGGTTCGATGATTGTGTCAGAATACAGCGAGCCTTTGTTCAGACCCTTTCATAAAACAGAGGCTCAAACAGCACGCATACATGACGCTCACAGCATGCTAGCACACCTGTCGCGACAGTCGCCGAGTTTACTCAAGTGTGACAGTGAGCTGCACGCGCTGTTCTCCGTCCACCGCCGTCGGCTGTGGACCGGGACTGTGCGGGACACGGGCGCCGTCAGTGAGGCTGCGGCTTGCTCCGCAGGCGCAGCTCCTCCGGCGGTGGTAGGCGCGGCAGGCGCAGCGGGCGCCCTGCAGGCGTCCGTGGCGGCTTCATCAGCGGCGGGACAGACGGCCCCGCTGCCCGGCGTCCCGGTGAATGACGCCATGCGGGACATGATGATGGAGATGCAGGTATGGCTCCCGAAGCAGCGAAATGACTTTACCATGGCGGGGCGAATTATCCCACTGAGCTCCGGCGGATACTTCGCCGAACAGATCGCGCTGACGTGATGGAGACAACTTCAACCCAGCATCCGGGCTGGTATACATGCATTGACTTCCGTATGACGCGCTTGGCTGTCCACGCTCATCAAAATTTAAGCACTTGAAACGTCTGCCATGTGACCAGCACAGCGAATCGTCAGTCTTCCATCGTGCTCTCCATCGTCGGTCGAATTCCATGAGATCATCCTGTAGGAGTATCAAAACGGTGTGCGGCATCCTGCGAGAGTGTCATCACGGTGTGCAGCATCATGCGAGAGCGTCATCACGATGCGCGACATCCTGTCATCACAATGTGCGGCATCCTGCGATAGTGTCATCACGGTGTACAGCATCATGCGAGAGTGTCATCACGGTGTGCGACAGCCTGCGAGAGCGTCACCACGGTGTGCAGCATCCTGCAAGAGTGTTATCACGTTGTGCAGCGTACTCCGAGAATGTCATCACGGTGTGTAGCATCGGCTACATTATTGCACGGGGGCAATGTAGCGGATGCAATAATTTCAATTCAGAGTGCTACAACGCTAGTCTATTGCAGATGACGTCTGTTACAGATGACGTTCTTCTTCGGGAACAAATTCTCCCTCTGGTTCAAAGGGTTCGATGTCAGCAGCGGCGGAGAGCTGGCTGCTGCCTGCATAGGCCTGGTCATCTTGGCGGCCTTGTACGAGGGTCTCAAAGTGTACAGGTGCGTACCCGTTCCAGGCGGAACAGCTGGCCAGACCGCACAAGCAAGAAGCAGTGAAGGGGTACGCAAAAAAGTGGAGACGGGCTAGTGGAAAGACAGAATGCTCCGCATTGGGTTAAAGAAAGCCCAGCAGACGATCATTTCATTGTGTTTTTCGCGGCCCATGTGTACCCTAACAGTGACCAAGTTCATGATGAGATGTACGCTTGCGTTCACAAACCATGAAGTGATAATGAAGTTTGCCGACACATATTTAAGCCCCAAATTCATGAAGCAGGCACCCATGGATGCTACAATATTTCATGAAACGACGCTATCAGCTCGCAGTGAATAAAGAGCGTCGCTGGTTGGAGTGACAGCCCATCACATTGCATGTGATAAATGACGTGGTGAGTAATGGTAGGCCATTTCCATTCCAAGCAGAGCTACTTAACTGCCAGTGTTATTGACCGTCACGCGTTTTCCCTTGTAGTTATGCAGAAAATATTACCGAGTTGCAGGGCAGGCTGCATTTTATGGAAATGCAAGATAATGTTTTACCCAGCAGATATCACACACAGCTTTGGGATCGTTTCGTAGACAATAGGGCAATTGCAATTGTGATAACGACTTATTCCACTGGTGTTGCGTCTGTTAGGAAGGCCCAAAAGCCCAAAAGCCAAGCAGCTTCTTTTTCCTCGACAGTTTGCTGCTTGAGATATTTCTGATGCTCATTTTGAATATCATGGTCACAAGGGCGTCAACATATTCCTCCTTTTGGCTTCACAAAGGGAGGGGAAGTCACCGACGTGAAAAAACCTCGACCAACCAGCCATTCCTCTTGAGAAATATGCTGTTTTAATGATCATTTACCTGTGTTAAGCAGCTAGGTTAAAGTTGCTTTCATGAGCAGGTCTGAGAGTATTTCTGTCGTCGATCTTGAGTGGGAACTTTTTATCTCATTTGACCTGAAAGTCAAAACCTAGAGACTTCCAAGTTCGGCATAAGTGAGTACACAGGGAAACCACTATCCTGACAATTAAGTGTCTGTAGCTTTCTAAGTTTTGAGATCTCAGGGTGTCAACTTGGTCTCCAACCGATTACGTGGCATTCAGCCGTCCGCCCGCGTGCGTGCTAAATCAATCGTGAAGTTGACAAAGCTTCCAAGTATGTCAAGCGAATAAGCTGCGTACCGAAGAGTGCGTCAAAAATAGATCGTTGCTTCTTTTTCAAATTGTTGATCGAGTCTGCCCCACAGCTGCGAGACGTAGAAAATGCAAACTTTGTCGCGAAACGCATGTTTCGTCAACTGTCGAGACACGTAAAAAGCGTAGCACTGACATCTATTGTCCACCTTTCCCCGCCTGACACCGTCACTGCGACGTGATGCAACCAGCTCTGTGACAATGTAACCCCTGCTGAGGGGTCATCGGCACCTTGGTACCGCTGAACAGCCTATTCGAATTTGACGAGGTTTAAATTTGAGACATCGGGTCCCGTTGCCTTTCCGGAGAATTGCCCCCGTCATTCCCTTCTGCTATTGTTTCGATAAAGGCATGTTGCCGAAATATCAACCAACTATATTTCCATTCTCCTGTTTTTCCGAGGAATAAGGCTAATACTGCCGCCTTATCTATGTGAATAATGTTCCTCGCTAATGCACTGAACAACTGCCCGCTTTTTTGCTAGCCTCCGCAATTTTTGTAAATTTAGCGTCCATGACAACCCGGTAATAGTCCAACATTCATCATTTGAACCAGCAAGTCAGTTTCAACGCCGAAGTCAATGCTCGGTTCGTCATGAAATCACACTCGTTGCGAATTTTCTGCATTCGTCTGTGCGAAGCCGAGGCCTTCAGCAAACTTAGTAAATTGCGCTGATATATGTCACACCAGGAAAACGTTAGATCACATGCTGCTTTCAGTATTAGAAAGAAGTGTGCACGGCACCTCTTTATATGAAGTCGTAGAGGGGATAAGGTCCGTTCTAGGTTGTTTTGTTTTACGCGCAACCCAATAGGGTTGTTTCATTAACTACATATGCCTAAGTATATATATTATATATATATATATATATATATATATATATATATATATTGAATTATGTTATTTTTGAATTAAAGTCGTTCTGATAGCGTTCTAATAGATAGATAGAGAGAGAGAGAGAGAGAGAGAGAGAGAGAGAGAGAGAGAGAGAGAGAGAGATATATATATATATATATATATATATATATATATATATATATATATATATATATATATACAGGCTATCAGAACGTCTTTAATTCGTTATTTACAGACACTGTTAAAGACCAGGGCGTATGCAGCTTTTATGAGCTTTTTCTGGGTCTTTCGATCAACCTCATGTCTCGTTTTACTTTGTTCGGCAGATTAAAGATCAATGTACCAAACATGCCTGTCATATATTTCATCTTAACTTTTCGTAAATCTCCATTTCATCTTTTGTGAGCCCCTGACGCCTATAATATCGCAAGCCCCTATCTCAACATACAAGCTGCCTTAGAGCTGGAATGCCTTTTCGCCTTTACATGCCATGCAAGTACAAGCGTGAGTCCATCGATGAGTTCATTGACATCATGCGAACACGTTAGGTCACTGGTGCATTTGAACAAATAAGTAATGTGATTTGGTGCATTTGAAGAAATAAGCCATCTCTTGATGTGGAACGCTTGCTTGCTAATGTTCCAGTAGACAGCACAACTGGAGTAATGATGGAGTGGCAGCACCTTGTCATCCCCTAAGCTGAGCCGTACAATCCTTCAAAAACTGCTCTTAGCTTGTGCCAAAGAAGCACCCTTCCGGAGATCTGATGGCCACATCTCCCTTCAAAAGGAGGGCGCAGCAACGGGCTCACTTCTTGGGCCATTATTTGGGGATTTCTACGCGTGTCATTTTGATAACATTGTATTGGATGATCCTTCTGTCAACCCAACATTTATGCTAGATATGTTGGCAACGTATCCGTTGATGTAGGCAGCCTAGACCACCTTAGGACGCTTAAATCGGTATTAAAAACAAAACAGGTTTCCAAATGTACTTATGATATCAAGTTAGACAACAGCCTTTCATTTCTTGCCGTGCTCATCGAAACTAAAGACATCCGGTTTGTGGCCACTGCCAGTGCGTCGTAAGGCCACTGATGTTGGTATTTGCTTAGATGCCGACCGTGAATTTGCAGATCGGTGCAGGAAAATTATTATCAGAGCCGTTATACACAGAGCGTTTCGAAACTGCTCTTCTTGGATTATTTCGCAATCGGAGCTCAGGAGGGTGAAACGGATCCTCATCAACAACGGATCCTCAGATTAACAAGTGGATCAAGAAATCCGACATCATCTGAGCAGGGAATACGAGGGGCAAAAATATTCCAGAAGACAGTAGATACCAAAAAATAAACCCAACACAATTTTCAACAAAAAAATAAAGTGAGCTCTGCGTATCAAGTCGACAAACGCATCATTTTCCAAGTCTTCACCGAGAACATGGCTCACACCGACAAAGTCCAAAATCTGAAACTTATTAGCCATTACAAAAACCAAAGAAATCAGCAATCTACGCACGCGTTACAACTTGCAACAGGGCCAAGACCAACTGAAAAAACATTGTAGGTTACCAATTTCTTTCCCCTTATGAAGATTGCGGGCTTAATAACATGTGCTGTATTGACGATGCAACAACACGTCTCTCCAGACCTTTAACCATGCACCGACGAGAAGGAGCCATACAACAGCACATGACAGAAAAACACCACAGACAAATCACCCGAACAGACCTCATCAAAAATATCAAGATGTTGAGGACATGTCATGGGCAGAGTTTGCTTATGGTTCGTTTTCCCTTCACATTAGGGAAAACGTTCCATCACTTAAGCGAACGAAGTCGCGCGTCACGTTAAACTTTGAGGATTACAAAACTGGGGAGGGGAACATTGTTCATTCGAGACTGAGCTGCGCTATCTTTTTATTTTTTTGATCATTTCATGAGTTACCATCCTGAATCACCAGCGCGAATGAAAGTGTGTTATGTGTTTGGGTGTAATGTACGAAATCATAAAACCTTGCATCATATTTCTGTGCATTGTGCTAACAGTCCTTTTTATACTACTTCATATCATATATATATATATATATATATATATATATATATATATATATATATATATATATATGTGTGTGTGTGTGTGTGTGTGTGTGTGTGTGTGTGTGTGTGCATATGTAGACCACGGATCATTGACGCCCCTCCACACATGAAGCATTATACATCATCAGCGTGTCACCCGTCATCAACATACGAAACAAACAACTTACAACTACCCCTTACGACATGCTGCTGATAGACCGGCATGCCCCCTCCCCATAATGCAAATCTACCCCAGTAGAAACCTTTTCACTTGATTGATGAAAGCATGCCTGAAATTTTATATATGTATGTGTGCGTGTGTGCATGCTTGCTTGCGTGCGTGTATGCGTGCGTGCGTGTGCACATGTGCGTGTGTGTGCGTGTGCGTATGCGTGCGCGTGCGCGTGTGTACGTGTGTGTGTTTGTGGGGCAACGAGGAAAAAAGAGGAGTACCGATCGGAGCTGGCATTAAACAGTTTCTTTTTGACCAGCCCTCTTCATGTTACTGCGTGCTCACGCGACACTTGCAACGTCCAGCAAAATACCCCACTTATCTTCAATAGCTTGAGCCTCGGAAATCCTCCATAGCCTACGAGTGCCTGCAGAGCATGTCGACGATGCCAACGCACAACGGCGTGGGCTCGGCGTAGCGAAGCGATAAGCGTGCTGCATCATAAAGATTGTCCTTTGTCAGGCGTGTTATCTGCCGTAGGGCCCGTTTAGCCGGCTCCGGCGTGCAACGATCACTCACAAAAAGAAACGCTGTGCCAAAGCTTCAGTCAAGTGAACGAGTCAGCTTACTCCGCATAATGGGGTGCCACCGCCTACTGGCAAAACGCTATGGAGCTGACGTTTGTAATTATGTCTTACTGCATTCGAAACTTGGAATATTTTCTTTATTTGATTCGCGTTTATTATTATTATTCGCGTATATATATATATATATATATATATATATATATATATATATATATATATATATATACATATATACATATACCAAAAATAATCAATCCATTATGCATATATATATATATATATATATATATATATATATATATATATATATATATATATATATATATATATATATATATATATATATATATACATGATGGATGGACATGTGAACGTATGAATATGTGAGGTATGTATGCAGGTATGTAAAAATGTACGCACCTCATATCCAGCCAACTTCAGCCCAGTTCCGGCGGCAGCATGGTTATAATTACTGATTGGAAAGGTGAAACGGCCACCTAACGGATCCGACATTTCAGAATCCTCGCCGTCGAGAACTGGAGCCCGCGGGGATTGTACAGCGGCGGCCATTGGTGAGTGGCACGTGTTCTTCCGAACTAACTGGCCGCATGTGGCCAGCCAGCCTGCGTATGGCTGGCACAGTTTATTATTACTATTTGACCGCAAAACTTCCCTAGCTTTGGTATCTCGTTGCGGCATAGATTTGTCGTAAAACTGAGCTTCTGAACAAAACACGTTGGAAGCACGCAGATGCCGTCATGATGCTTCCAAAAAGGTAAACGAAATGCTCCAATCATGCGTTGTTCTTCGCGAGCCGTCTTTTACGTGATTTCCGTTCGGAAACCCTCGGTGTGTGGCTGGTGACTTTGTGCTGTGGCATTTCGCCCGTACGCACCAGAATACCGCTGCTTGTATCTAAGGATTAAAAACAATGGTAGTCACTTTTTTAAATCAACCCCATCTCATTTGCAGGCTGCAAGCAGTGTTGCACATGGTGCAGGTAAGACCTCTATATTGTGGGCAAGATAGACTCTAAACGTCTCTAGAGTTCTATCTAGACATTTGTATTGCGACTGGGAGGCCATCCGCTATTTTCTGCGTGCGGTATTTGTGTGCATAGATTGTCGTATAGCTTGACTTGTAGCCTTATAATCAACGTAAAATACGCCAGGTCTGAATAAACCGATCAGCCAAATCAGCGCTGACATTTTTTGCAGCGGCTGGTTGAGCGGCACAGGGGAAAGCTCAGTTAGGTGTCCCCGTAGCTAAAGCAGACATTATTCGGACTGAAGCTTCGCTCATGCAAAACATGAGCACAGACGTGTGCATGTCATGGGGGTCACTACTCCCATGCATGTAATGTCGTGACCCCATGCAGGTCATGTCGTGACCCCATGTATGTCATGTCGTGACCCCATGTACGTCATGTCGTGACCCCATGTATGCCATGTCGTGACCCCATGCATGTCATGTCGTGACCCCATGTATGCCATGTCGTGACCCCATGCATGTCATGTCGTGACCCCATGCATGTCATGTCGTGACCCCATGTATGTCATGTCGTGACCCATGCATGTCATGTCGTGACCCCATGTATGCCATGTCGTGACCCCATGTATGCCATGTCGTGACCACATGTGTGTCATGCCGTGACCCCATGTATGTCATGCCGTGACCCCATGTATGTCATGTCGTGACCCCATGTATGTCATGTCGTGACCCCATGCATGTCATGTCGTGACCCCATGCATGTTATGTTGTGACCCCATGTATGCCATGTCGTGACCCCATGTATGCCATGTCGTGACCCCATGCATGTCATGTCGTGACCCCATGTATGCCATGTCGTGACCCCATGCATGTCAAGGGGTCACGAGCGGACTAGCTGCTATCACAGCCATGTCGGGCCCTGTTCGCAGCGTGGCATTGAAAGCCGGCGATGCTCCACCGTCCCGTCGCGTGATAGCTATATCCCTGGACTTGGGCTCAAACGGAATGTTGTCGCTATGCGAGGCGTACCAAATATCGCGCTGCTGCGGCTTACGGCGGTCGCTTCCTGTCAGAACCAATGCACTCTACGTGGTCACTCTTCAGACGAAATATAGCACTGCATTCCGCGTCAATCCCTTGAAAGATTCGTGGCCACCCTGGCACGCCAATGCCCAGAACTGTGACGGAGGTCGCTGCTTTCCCACAGATCACCGTCAGCTACTTCCTGATGCTGGCCGTGATGACGTACAACGTCTGGGTGTTGCTGGCCGTCTGCCTCGGCGCGGGCCTCGGCTACGCCACCTTCTCGATGCTGGTGCCGGCCAAGTCATTGCTGGGCGCCACCAGCGAGCACTGTCACTAGCGGATCCGGCAGGTGCCCCGACCCGCCCACACGGCGCCGGTGACCAGCTGCAGGGCGTCGGCGCTGCTCCACGTCACCAGCCCCAGTCCGTGGGGTCCCGCATTCCACTTCCTGTACAGATACTCGGGGCATCCATTCGGCTTCGTCGTTGCGCTTATGAGTAACTATGCCGTGTGGCTTCGAGCCAGCGTACCCCGGGTCAGAAGCGTGCCATTCGGAACGTCTCGCATCCAGCCATCGAGAGAAGACGCCGGAATAAAAAGCTGGGTCCAGCACGGTCCAGACCAGCAGCGGGGATAGCAAGCAGCATGCGAATCGCTGCTTTACGAAACTGCTTGGGCTGACAATGTGTCAACAGAATTGTGAACTCAGTCATGCGCATAGAATTAACTGAATAAACAGCAATACCACTGACTCAGCCATCTTTGTGGACCGCGTCTGGTGTAACCGAACTCTACGCCCAGGCTTTTGCAGTCCAGGGGCCCCATGGGGAGCAGGCTTCGTGAAAGTGACAGTTCTTTGGAAAGATCCTATATGGACGCACAATGCGTAGCTTCAGCTGGTTATCTGTAAGCTGCCAACACTCAAACCAAACGCAGACGCTCAGTGGAACGGTGATGAATGATTTGGATAGCTGTATATTAATGCCGATGGATGAGGTATTCTCGCAACGCATTTCAACCAAGAGGCACTTTTACCTCATCGGGTTACGCTATAAGGTACGCTTGTAGCGTACCTCGATTACCCGGGTACCCAGGTACCTTGTTCGCCCAGGCACACCGGTACCTCGATTACCCAGGTACGCTACAAATGCCTTCGTGTAACCATGGTTTAAATAGCGTTGTTGTGCCGATCCCTTTCGTCCCCAGTCCCCAGCCTGGAGTCATTTTACCCATCACTTAATGAAGAAGTGGCGCTTCAGACCCGGCTGGCCTAAACTTTCGGTGTTAAACCAGCACTTTCCGTTTTATTTCTACCGGCTTCGGATAATTGTTTTCGCGGCAGAGAATAAGGTTGAGTGCCGCGTCCGGTGATTTCGTATGTATCCATTCCATTCCACTGCCTTATCATTAATGACTGCCGAGCTTCCTCAGCATGGCTGGCGGGTGGTCCCCGCAAACCCTTTGACTTCTTTTCTCTTATCCAGGTGATTAAAATTTAGCATGCACGGATCCTGTAGGATAAGTTGAAAATTATGACATACCAAGCCGAAATTTTTTTGAAAAAAGTTTTCCACGCAGGCACTTTTTATAACATTTTGGTCCATGTTTGTATTAGGTAGCGCGGCTCAAACAACGATGGTGGCTCAACCGGGAACCAAAAATGCTGATGTATAAACCGTTTTAAAAAACCCTCGCATTTTTTAACTCCAATTGCTGAAAGTTGAGCTTCGGTAAGCCGCTTATTTCAACGGTGATTACGCATGCTAGGGTTAAAATGAGCGTTGCACACTGGTAGGTGAGATGCGTGCACGCTTACCTGTGCAGCAATGTGGGTGTGTCGAACACTGCGTATATTACCGCCGAGCATTGCCGAATAAGAGTGAGTGAAACACTGTATACATTACTGTCATGCATCTCAGAACATGGGTGTGTCGAACACTGTAGACGTTACCGCCGAGCATTGCCAAATATAGTTGCGTCGAACACTGCATATATCATCGTCGAGCATTGCAGAATATGACTGCGTCTAACATTGCATACATTACCGCCGAGCATTGCCAAATATGGGCGCATCGAACACTGCATACATTACTGCCGAGCCTTGGAGAACATGGTTATGTCGAAAACTATAGACGTTACCGCCGTGCTTTGCCGAATATGGCTGCGTCGAACACTGCATACATTACCGCCGAGCATTGCAGAACATGGGTGTGTGGAACACTGCATACATTACCGTCGAGCATTGTCGAATATGACTGCGTCTAACACTGCACACATTACCGCACTGCGTTGCCGAATATGGTTGCGTCGAACACTGCATAGATTGCCGCCGAGCATTGCAGAACATGGGTGTGTCGAAAACTGTAGACATTACCGCCGTGCGGCGCCGAATATGGTTGCGTCGAACACTGAATACATTATTGCTAAGCATTGCAGAACACGGGTGTGTGGAACACTGTATACATTACCGTCGAGCATTGTCGAATATGACTGCGTCTAACACTGCACACATTACCGCACTGCGTTGCCGAATATGGTTGCGTCGAACACTGCATACATTACCGCCGAGCATTGCAGAATATGGGTGCATCGAACACTGCATACATTACTGCCGAGCGTTGCAGAACATGGTTATGTCGAACACTATAGACGTTACCGCCCTGCATTGCCGAATATGTTCGCGTCGAACACTGCATACATTGCCGCTGAGCATTGCAGAACATGGGTGTGTCGAACACTGTAGATATTACCGCCGTACATTGCCGGATATGGTTGCGTCGAACACTGCGTACATTACCGCCGAGCATTACAGAGCATGGGTGTGTGGAACAATGCATACATTACCGTCGAGCACTGTCGAATGCGACTGCGTTTGACACTGCACACATTACCGCCCTGCGTTGCCGAATATGGTTGCGTCGAACACTGCATACATTACCGCAGAGCATTGTCGAATATGGGTGCATCGAACGCTGCATACATTTCCGCCGAGCATTGCCGAATATGGGTGCGTCGAACACTGCGTACTTTGTCGCGGACGATGAGCAAGCTTAAACCCGCAGATATCATGCGCTCTATCAACATGATATATTCCCCACAGCGTGATCTATAGCATTATATGATTCGACCAGCTACATAGTTCCGGCATAGTGCGCTCGGGTGAGGACCAGTTTTACCATTCCCATAATTTTTGTCCATGATGACTTCAAAAGGGCGCGGCTTAGCCACGCCAAAACTTTTAGAGCTGCAGGCGATTCGATAGCTAAGGCTTTTCTGTCTTTAATCAGATGTATGGCGTAGGGTCGCTAACCTATGTCAGATGTACGTACGTGCCTAATGTTCGCACCTAATCAGATGGACGTTGTAAGGTCAAAGTCCGGCCAAGGCTGTCAACAGGGGCAATGCCTAGTGAATCGTTCAGTATGGTGCAACAACGGAGTATTAGACGAAGCCATATTCGGGACTACTTCTTGTATTATTGATTTTGCATTCAAACGGCCAAAGGCGTTGCATTCAAACGGCCAGCCGGGCACGTGTTAAGGACCAAGTTCCACCCTTGCGTCAGCCGGCACGTGTCAGTGTCCCATGGCTCGCTGCTCACCAGTAGGCTAGGCTAGTAGGCACCAGCTGCTCACCAGTAGCACGGACATTTCGGGCACTGGTGTACATGATGTCTTGTTTTGGGACAGTTGAAGTGCTTCTACTGGCGCTTTAGTCCCACGAGATTTAGACGCTGTGCACGTGTTTTCATTCTGGCATGTGCGGTGGACAGGGAAGGGCAAAATCAACACCCCAATACTGCGATGTGACATTGCACCAAAATGCACCGCGTGACTACCTGCTGCATTTCGAGGAATGGTAAGAAGCCTACCCGCGGCAGAATCAGTGACCATGTCACTGTCTTTCGCTGCGGCCGATCCATTTGCCCTATATGAACTTTGACGTCGCCAAGTATACCGATGGTATCATTGGGTCTAAAGAGTCGATAACCGATCCACCACTCACTTCGTCACCGGGCGTCGCCGAGCGTTGTGGACTGCGGGTCACAAGGTGCTACCGTATCTAGTGCAAACACAGGCCGTATAGCGAGGAGAGCTGTTTCCCAAGCTGGCGGGGTCTGCAGTGGTGGGACGAGCGCACGCATAAACGCACGTGCGCGAGAATGCGACTCCGGCGGAACATGCTTTGAGTGGAAGCAGGATTCAGATAGTCTGAGCATTTGATGGCTGGAAAAAGTACGAGTACACTCCGGTTTAACAACCTCCGCAGCCTTCCAATAACGACGTTGTATCAGCTTGATGCCTTCTTGCACACGAATGTTAACTGGACTCGGGGTCGCACGTTTGCACTTACGAAGTGCGCGTTGTATCCATCGTGTGCTCCGTTGTCGCAGCGCCCCGCAGGCACTTCAAAGAATCAGAATGTTTTACGTAAAGTCGTCGGAGTAAAAAGCTACTGCGCATCGTACTGCAGGCAGCACTCATTCGTCCGGTGTCATTGTTTCTCACCCCGGTGCGTACATGTACTTGTTTTCCCCAAACCTCCTTAGAAAACGCCGGTCTATGTGTGAAGCATTTACCCAACAGTCATGAAAAACCTATATATTAAACCTAATATATAAATAAACCTAATAGATTGGGAACATTTTGCTTTTACCTGATGAAAAAAATGCGTTGCCACGTTGCAGCTCATTCAAAGTATTTGTTCAGAGATCAGTCAGGGGTACAGTTTTCTTTTTCATTAGGGGCTACGGACCCTTCCCGCCACCAATGTGGGCTCCAGTCTCCCTCCCCAGCTTTTGGAAGAAGGCGGACCAGATTTGGTGAGGAGCCGGCAGATTGTATTTTGGGGAATGCTCGTCATGTTTCACTGTTCAGACCTCTCAACATTTTACGAAGCTATCGCCCCCTGATACCAAGAATTGACCAAACGTCAGCCAAGTTAGGAGATGCTGAAAATCTATCCTGTTAAGATTTATCCCTCGACTGTTTGGTGAAATATTTCAAATAGAATGAAAAAGGCGTCTATGTCCAACCAAAAGAAGTTATAAAATAGCTGGTTTGGTGTGGAATATTTGGGTAGAGTTACGGAAATAAGCAGCAAGGCAGACCGTGCCGATTTCTTCTTTTTTATGAAGAAAAAAACGTGATCCAACTAGTAAAATTAGTTTTAGTTTTTTGTGCCATCAAACAAAAAATACTAAACAAATTTCCTGCTGAACAACCGGAGTATCGAAATATACGTGTCGTTTTGCATGAAGGGTCTAGTGAAATCACTATTTCTTGGTAAATGGTGCGCGCGCGCGCGCGTGTGTGTGTGTGTGTGTGTGTGTGTGTGTGTGTGTGTGTGTGTGTGTGTGTGTGTGTGTGTGTGTGTGTGTGTGTGTGTGTGCGTGTGTGTGTGTGTGTGTGTGTGTGTGTGTGTGTGTGTGTGTGTGTGTGTGTGTGCACAGTCGATTTGATGTTTTCCTCTTCGCACTTTATTCTGCATAATATCAGTACTTACAATTATCTTTTCATGGCCCGATTCGTTATTTCTCGCGCTTCCCACATCCGGGTCATGACGCTGCGGGCTCCATGGCACCCGCCGTGACCTACTGCCGGCCGGCAGTACCCGCTGTGACCTACCGCAGGCCGGCAGTACCCGCCGTGACCTACTGAGTACCCGCCGTGACCTACTGCAGGCCGGCAGTACCCGCCGTGACCTACTGCAGGCCGGCGCGGCATCGTCGGCGGCGCCGCCGCGCGGCCGTCTCAACAAGCATCGCAGCGGTGGCGTCGGTCCGCGTCGGCGCCGACGGAGCCAGCTGCGGCCGCGGGTCAGCTATCGACCGGCGGCGGCGGCGGCGGGCGGGGCTCGCAGAGCGGCGCCATGACAAGCCTGGGCGGCCGCGAGGAGCCGCGCGGCTCGGCCGACGACAAGTCCGATCGGCTTTACCAGCAGCCGCGCCAGAACATCAAGATCGTGCGCATCCTGACCGTGCTCGGCTACGTCTTCTGCGTCTCGTCGGCGGCCATCATGCTCTCGCTGTACTACGTGTTCCTGTGGGACCCGTACAGCGGGCCGCCGGAGTCGCGCGCGCACGCCGTCGGCGCGCACGGCACCAACATGTCGGCCCTCTGCGCCGCCTACACCCAGAAGGCGCAGCGGGCCACCCACGGTGAGTCTGAGGCTGACGCGTCTGGGGGCTGGCTCCCGCGTCGTCGCGCAGCAGGAGGGCGGGAGAGGGTGGGGTTCTCTCGCGCCAGTCGGTGGCTGCCTGCTGCGCATTACGCACGGCGCGCCTCGCAATTTGCTCGTTTAAGCACGGTTTAGCACGGTGCTAGTCAGGACACTTGGCGTGTTGGAGCTTTCTGAATCGGACAGAGTTGTTTTTTAAAGGTGCCAATTTGTAGGCTTCTGGTGATTTTCGCACGTTTTTGGGGCGTGCTTTAGTCCCCGAGGAGATACAAAGCACTATCTGTGATCGCTACCGCTCGTGTGCTTGTCTGCCAAGTCTCAATTTTGACCAATCCGATGCAAGCGACAGGAAACGTTAGCAGGAGCATGAAGCTTTTTGTGATGTTGCAAGTCGTCCAGTCTGTTGGAACGTTGTTGTGTACTGTCACACTCTGGGAGACGGGTGCGTATATATATATATATATATATATATATATATATATATATATATATATATATATATATATGTGTGTGTGTGTGTGTGTGTGTGTGTGTGTGTGTGTGTGTGTGTGCAAATCGTCAGGGTTAAAAAACGTGTGCATATATGCACGTTTTTGGGTGCCGATATTGCAGTCGTTCACGGGTTTACGTTAACCGTTGCACGTCTGGGAAGCCAAAAGCACGGGATTTGATTCCCTGCGATGCCCGCCCTTCCTGCTAGGGTGAGAGGCCGGCAACGCTATATGGCCTCAGCAGCTGAGTGCGTCATGAGCCTCCCGTCCCCACACCCCGCCCTGTGTGTGTTCGCTATGCTGGAAGCATGGCAGGTACTCTCCGACTGAACGGTTTGAATGGTCGCTTTGTCACTAAATATAAATATATCATGTTATAACAAATCTTAAGCCAGTTAGCCCGTGGGAATCTTACCCTTGTGGTCAGTTTCCTGCAGGTTCACAGTCTATTTGTTCTTATCTGATGTTCGTGAGCACAATTTCCAGATATAACGGCGGTCAGTTGGCTCGTTACCAGTGTTGTGCAAGATACGATGGTGCAATCAAGCCATGACGCATTGAGGAGCATGTTCACTAAACAGAGGAATTGTGTGTTTAGAGCGTTCCTTTCCGGTTAAAAGCGTGCCAGTAGTTATAAGTGAGTTTCTTGCATTATATTGGATGTTTGCCTCAATATCTTCAAATGTGAACAACTCTTTTTAAGCATCAACGGCCTTAGTTGATGCACCTAGTTGACGGGAGTGTGTGGGTTTCAGATGCAGGTTGCGTCCTCACGTAACGCCAAGCCCACAAACAAATACCCGCGTTAAACGGAGTTAGAGCGGGACCCTTCAACAGTGAGACATTATTCTACACAACAACGCTTACGCTGGTATGGATTCCGACCCATACGTCTTTTGACGTTAGGCATTTAGGCTACTAAGGCGGTATTCCGCTGTAAGTGTGGTGACACCACGGGGCATGATGGAGTAAAAAGATGCATTTCAAGAGAATGGGCCTATTCATCGCGCCACCGACCATTTCCTAGTTAAACCGTAGGGCTTCTCCAATCCCGTGGCATCATCCGACCGAAAATACAGCCAGCTAGCAGATACACATCTGACCAGGTGTCTGCTCGCTAATCAGGCATGTGACCGTTCGCCAGGCATGTAGTCTTCGACTATTCACTCGAGGTTCTCGCGTGCTGTGTGGCTTGACCGCGTAATTGTGACCTAACCCGGTCATTGAACCATGTGAGTGGTGGACTGGCTACTGAGGCGAATTTCCTTTTTGTCTTAAGCTTGAGTGGTCCGTGAAATATGCGCAACGTTGCCCAGTTGAGGATCTAGAAGCGGGTTCGTGGGGCAATGCCTCCTCTGGAACCGAAGGGGCACTAAAATATTGAGATGAAGAGGCACCAAAATTCTTATTTTGGGTCCACGTAATCTCTAATTTTTAGACGCATTAAAACACACGAGAATCGCAAGTGACCCTCAATCTCCAAGCTGAAATAAAAGGTAAAAGAAAATTGATTTTTAGAAACAGAGCAGACTAAAGCTGATGCGCCATTTCAGGGAAAGACATTTTAACGAATAACAAATAAGAATCTGAAAATGAAGCGGCCAAACTCTTGGGACTTCTCCATGAGGGGGGCTGCCAAGTTCCAAGGGCACTGCAGTGAAGCGTAACCCTTTCCTTGATACAATTATGCATCCGCCTTTACCGCTTTTTTTGTTTCAGCCGCAGCTGGTGTTCAAGTTCCTCAGGCCGCCCTCGCGCCTTCACCGACGAGTGGCATTACAGCAAACCAGCTATAGATGGCGCTTCTGAGCGAGGCGACGTAGTCTAGATGGCGCGTCAGTCGCCCCGGTGGCCGTCAGTGTTCGGCCGGCTTGGGACGACGGGCGCGAGCCTCGGTCAGTGACGGAGGCTCGGAAAGGTCAGCGGACGACTGAAAAAATCGGACAGCTGATCACTCAGATCGCCCACGGCTGCTCGTGATGATCGCTGCCGTCGTCAGCCGGTGACGAAGCGACCTCGGTGACCCGACCGACCTGCCTCGCGGGTCAGAAGTCTGGTGGTCGCGGCGCGCATTCTAGGCCATCCGCTCTTCTTCCATGGTTAAACGCTTTACCCTGAATCACGTAGCTCCCGGCTTATCCCGGGAAAGCTGCATGCATCTGTTGTAAGGGGCTCACGCGCTCCTGGCGGGGGCCCCGCCCGAGCCTGCACAAACAGTGAAGAGGGGTGTCTGTGCGCGAAGTCTCGGTATAGGAGGATTTCCAGACACCTGTAACATTTTCCCGTCATTCTCTGCTTTTGTCCATCCCATAGTCCTGAACTGGTCATTACTGGCCGAAAGGGCCCTGATCCCAACCAAGTCCCACTCAATAGCAGCCTTCGCCAACCCATCCTTCTACCCACAGCCATCGCCCCATCCTCGCAATGGGTCTCCACTCATGCGGTGGCTGCCAGCCATGGGCCGGTCCGAAAGCCACTCCGGCTGGGAATCCCGCTGGAGCGCCCGCACGCACCGCGGCGTAGGACCCCTGGGCGGGACAGACATCGGTGTCGGCGGACCAACACCGCCGGACGGCAGCGCTTGACCCCATCTCCACCGACCCTGTTTAGCCCATAGGCTTGACTTTGCCAGTCCATGGAGAGCGAGCTCACCCCTAGCCGTGCTCACAGTCATCGGCTGTAAGCACCGCTACAGCCCGGAGGCCGCCGAGATGGCGGTCCAGCACGATAACGAACTGCGCCGGGAGCTCCGCCCGGCGACAACGGCCAGCAGGGTACACCACGGGTGTCGTGTCCCTGTCTGTGTCACGGGCCAACAGCTAGCCCACGTGCGGGTGGACCGAGATACGTGGGACTTCTCAGGCAGTTTGTGGATGGGTTTTGAGATGGCGTTGAGTAAGGGATTCAGGTTTGTCAACTGTTCGCCTGCTGCGTCCGGTGTTCTTCACCTCCTGAGTTAGTCCGTATAGTCAGTCACTTGTGCGTGGCATTTGAAATGTTTAAAAACGTAGGATGATCTGCTCTGTGTATGTCACTTAGACGGACGCAGCTGTTGCCAGAACGTATGCATTAACGACTTTGATACGCGTAGTGCAGAGTAGTCTTAATGTGCGGAGTACAGTGCAGTGCAGTATAGTGCGATGTAGTGCGAAGCGTTGTTGATGAGAAGAAAAAAAATGATTGCGAAGAGTTCATGTCAGCCCGCCACCTCTGCCGCATTCTCCTGTTCTTGGGCTGGCGAGTACAGGGGCGTTGCCAGGGTAAGGAGTGTGAACGCCAGGCATCGGGAGGAAAAGGGTCAGGGCATGTCGCCCGGTCATCCAACCGGTGACGCGGCCGGGACGAGCCATCGCTGGATGCAATATATGCAGGAACGTATTTCGGCCGTAGCGTGTCAGTGCACCCACCACCAAACCGAGGCCAGCTGATGATATGCCACAACCGAAAACAGGGCTGATGGCACGACAAAACAGAAGCCAGGCTGATGTCACGACACAACCGAAAGCCAGGCTGATGCACGACCAACCGAAGCCAGGCTGATGTCACGACACAACCGAAGCAGGGCTGATGTCACGACACAACCGAAGCCAGGCTGATGTCACGGACACCAACCGAAGCCAGGTGATGGCACGACACAACCGAAGCCAGGCTTGAGTGGCACGACACAACAGAACCCAGGCTGATGTCACGGACACAACCGAATCCAGGCTGATGTCACGACACAACCGAAGCCAGGTGATGTCACGACAACCGAAGCCAGGCTGATGTCACGACACAACCGAATCCAGGCTGATGTCACGACACAACCGAAGCCAGGCTGATGTCACGACACAACCGAAGCCAGGCTGATGTCACGACACAACCGAATCCAGGCTGATGTCACGACACAACCGAATCCAGGCTGGCACGACACAACCGAAGCCAGGCTGATGTCACGACACAACCGAATCCAGGCTGATGTCACGACACAACCGAAGCCAGGCTGATGGCACGACACAACCGAAGCCAGGCTGATGGCACGACACAACCGAAGCCAGGCTGATGGCACGACACAACCGAAGCCAGGCTGATGGCACGACACAAACTACAGCAGGCCCAGCTGAACGGTGCCAGCAGTCTGCACGCCCCACCTACACAGACAGCAGGTGAGGGGCGCAGCGGTGCGACGTTTGACAGGAAACATCTGGCTACGTTTATAGATCGACACAGCAATATTTAGGTTCCTTTCGCATGGTTATGTAGCGACGGGAGACCTATGACTGCTGTCTGAAAATCACCAGCAATGCCCGCGGTCATCGTGAGAAAGGACCTTGAGTCCTCCCTCCCCCCCCCCCCCCCCCCCTCCCACTGATCGCCGTGCATAGTCCTCGTGGGGGACGGACGTCAGCGGCTCAAGGTTGTCGTGCTGAAGGGTGTTTGCGGTAGGTACTTAAGCACGTCTTCATCTGAGCAGTTGATATTTCTGGCGGCTGGCGGGACTCGGATATTTCTTTCAACGAGATGATTTTGTATCGCGCTGTTTTGAAGTTAGTAACACCCTTGCTGATCATGAGGACATTGTTTGGGAAGATCTCGTGGGAGGATACCTCTTAGGAAGAAACGTCATAAATAAAACCATGATACACCAAGACTGGCCAGATAAGGAGAGCGTATGGGCGAAGCGGAGTTCGTCTGTCTGCACCCCACACACGCCCACTGATGCGTCTGAATGCGTAAAACCGATGAAAGCACCGCTGACGAATGGCGCTGGGTGAAGATTGAATGCGAGGCGGGGACTTAAAGTCCCGCCTTTGTATTTAAATTCCGGGATTTCTGGGATTCTTTATCCATTTAACTGAAGCGGGCTACAGAAAATTAATGTCGCTGCTGATGAGAAAATATGCCGCGGCTGATTTGGTGGGGATGGCTTCAGACCCCACTGCCGCATCACGTTTGGATGCGGTCTGGTGCACGTTGAAAAACAAGAGTTGAACGAATGGCGTTGGAGTGGGAGTGTCATGTCACCAGATCGTCGGCGTACATCGTCGTCCAACATTTCATACTGAACACTACTTCGTGAATATGTTTGAATTTGCCATCAATGTCATGAGGAGCAAGGTATGTGACACTGCACGGCCGTGGAGCAATTCAACGTGTTGGGCTGTCGGCCCTGAATGAGCACATCACGACGCACTAAGATTGTGTGATTTATAAGAAATATTTCAATAACATTGCCAAGACGACCTCGGACACGGGCTTGATGCAGCTTAGGCCTCGCTCTGACTCACCGTTCTTTATAATGTCGACTGGTAGGGGTCGATGTGACCCCTGGCATTTCCAAAATAATCTAGATAGAGCTTAGCAGAAGACACCAATCGACTGTGATGCTTCACAGCATCATGCATTCATGACAAGGCTGTATAGTGGCACAAAACCTAAATAGGCTTGTTTCTTGTTAAATTATAAGTACAATGGTGCATATTTCATTTGCTGTGAATTTTTGTGTTTATGTTACATGACTCCGTTATGTAAAAATGTCGGCCCACCGCGAGCGTTCCAAGGCATCGTCACTTGCTGCTCACCACCGCGCCGGCCGTAGACCGCCGTGCAATATTCCTCAAAACCGCTGCCGCTTATAAATCAGAAAAGATTGGAAAACGTTTTTGGCATCAAAACACGCCTCATGGATGTCATATAGGCAAACAAAAAATTGGATGCGATTGCGCAACATACCGGAGAAGAACCTTCAAAGAACATCAGGGGGTCGCATGAAGCCTCCAATCATCCCCTATCAGAGCAAGGGTTTATTCAGATAGACGATTAAAGTATCTTGTTAACGTATCTTTTAAAGAACGTTGAAGGCCGTCTATAGCTTATACGAGACTATCGGCAATGTGACGCCTTGACCGAGAGTCGCTCCAGTGTGGCGAAAGGCGGTTAAATTCGAGATATGCCCTGATACGACCATTTATCATGCACTTAAATGATTTAAATGCACAAGGCAACAAAGCAACAGGACGAAAGTCAGAGGGATGAAAAGAAGGCTTGCGAGGTTCAATAATGGATATGAAAGTACTAGAGCACTAAATGAGGAGAGAAGTGTCAGTCGACCTGAAGTGTCGTTATATGCTAAAAGAAGATTTTTAAACAGCCTCTGACAGGTTTTTGAAGAAAGAATATGCAAGCAGATCAGGGTCACGGTAGGTTTTCCACATTTGGTGATGGCAACTTTAGATCGTTGCATGTGAAAGGAGTATTACATGTTTCGGTGTTGTCTACGTTAAAATTACGTGTCGGAAGAGTGCCATTCAGAAACGTGCTATGCGTTGCGCATTGTTCGCCGGATGACACTTGCGTGTAGTGTTCGGCGAACTGTGTCGCAGCCTCTGAAGGTTATGTGATACATTTGATATAATAAGTTCTGATAGTGCGCGAAGTGGGGAGCGCCCGTTGCTGCAACATTTCATCTGTCGCCATATTTTTAGAGAGGGGTTAAGCGATTAAGTGTTGCGTAAGGGCGCAAAAGTGAACACTGCTCCTATGATGCCTATGTAGCGCGTCTGATGGTGACCCGTACTTGCGAGCGCGCCAGTCAAAAGGTGTTTGAATGCGCCTGGCGGGAAAAGCGCTCGAGAGCGTGTTCCGCACTACGCCTCCTTGGTGGGCTCACTGGCACCCTGCGTTCCACCAGGGAGCGTGATTGCGCCCCGGTGGACGACTGGTGTTAGCGCGAGCTAAAGCAAAAGCTAGGCCAAGCATGGTGTGAAGGTTATCAGTAAGGGGAGAGGAAGAGCCAGAAGGATAGGCGAGGCCTGTGGAGTTTTGGAAAGGTGGCCAGTTGGCTTTGCCGACGTTCCAGCGGGGCTTGAAATGATGACCAGATGGACCCGGGTGTGCCTCCAGCGTGATACGAATAGGGTGGTGGTCGCTGAACAAAACATCCGGCCGGGCATGCCAAGAAGGGTGGTAGAGAGATAACAATGTTAGGTTCAGTTGTGTGTGATTTACGTCAATAGCAGTTGCGTTAGAGGAAATGTTTCACATTTGAATATACTGAAGCAAGCATCAGATATGACGAAATAATCTCACTGATGTTCATTGGCATAATTTTAAGTGAAAACCCTACTCTAAGAAGCACACTATTTCTGTGTAGTGAATATGCTTCTCAATGCATCATTGTTTGACTACGTCATCGTGCCTTGCACAACATTGATTGACAGTCGGCTGTTTTGTTTGGAAATCATGCTCGCTAACGTCAGATACGAACGACTTGGCAATTAGATATGTATTAGCCTTGATTGCCGCATGACTAATGAAACCCTAGGATAAAAATGATATGCATCGTGGATTTCTGGGTAACCTTGAAACAGTCTCCCCAAATAGTTTGTACATCTTCTTGCACGTGCAGTTCAGAAGCGTAGAGATTTACGTCTGAAAGGAAGTGTTTCACAGTTGCGTGTGGCTTTCGACTGAAATAGCCATCCTGAAAACTTTTGGCGCTTTTTACAATTCTTCTCCTCTTAAGATCTAACTCCCTCTAGTTCTTGAGCTGCACGCCCGCGAAAATGGGGAAGGTATATCGGGTAGAGTATTTCAAAGTCACCTTGGCATTTATGATGTCATGATAGCGTCATTCAAATCATACTATTCCATAAGCCATGCGACGATCAAGGCCAAAACAAAAGAAAATTACATTTGTCGAGGCGTTCATATCTGGCATTCGTGGGCGCAATTTTCAGGCATAACAGCCGTTAATTGGCTCTCAATTAATGTTATGCATGGTACGATGACGTAATCAAATCATGACTCATTGAGGAGCGCGTTTACTAAACAGCGAATTTTGCTGACTAGAACAGCCTTTTCCACTTAGAAAGCATACCAAAAGCTATAAGTGAGATTGTTTCATAACACCTGATGCTTACTTCAATATTTTCAAACGTGGAACATTCCCGTTCATAAGCGCGGGCCTGTGAACTGCACCGAGTGGTCTAATCACACCGAGCAAATGCAAACGATCCGAGTGATCCGCACTAAGGCTATTCTAGTTCAAAGCCCAATGCAGTTGTAGAACATTTCCTTGAAGTTCAGTAGCAGCCCGAATGTCGCTCTGCAAGAACACATCATTAGCGTAAAGTACCACTCCACCTCGGCAGGCCCAGATAGCAATGCTGTTGCTACAGTGGGTAAAGTCATAAAATGATGATCTGAATCAAATAAAATGATGCTGATCTGAATCAAACATACGAGTTTTCTGAAAAGTGGCTATTAACAGCATATTTTTGATCATACACTCTGCATTCTGCCCAACAAGGTACTGAAGATCTAGGGTTCCACTGAAGCCTGAAGGGGGATTCATATACCAGGACGACGCGACCGTCAGAGCTGCTCTGCGCTTGCTGAGCGA